AAAAAAAAACCTAGACAAAACTTAAAATTAAACAATAATATGGGGAAAATATTTGCAACATGATAAAGGGGTAATGTCCTTAAAACAAACCAGTAAATTTTCAAAACAAAAGTGGCAAATAATATGACTAAGCAGTTCACAGAAGAATTACAAATAGTTAATAGATGACAAATATTCATTACTAGCAATCATAAGTTTACAAAATAAAATGATGAGATGCCAGTATTTGTTTTTCTGTAAAAATGGCAAAGATTTTAGATTAATACTCAGCATTGATGTGTTAAGAGGAAACTGACATTATCATACATTGTGCTGGTAGGAATGTAAATTGATACAACTTTTATGTAAAGTATGGCAATATGTATGATCAAAACCTTAAACACTGCCAACCCTTGACTTACCAATGCTAGGAATTTAATGTACGAAAATAAGCAGAAATAGTTAAAGGAATGTTCATTTCAGTTATGTAGAATAGCAAAAATGGGAAACATTCTAGACTGGAAACAGGGAATTATTTAAATAAATTATAGCATATCAATATTATGAAATCATAGGCAGCTATACATATACATTGTAGAAGAATTTTTGAATGAAGTGTGGATAGATGGTAATATGATATTATTAAATAAAATGAATTGTTAATTAATAGTGATAATATGGTTTCATTTGGGCAAAAAATAAAAGCATATATGTATAAATAAACGCATAGGAAAAAGACCAGAAAGATAGTAACCTCAAATAAATGGTGTTTATTGTTAGGGTGGAGCAAACTCAAACCACCAACATTTCAGTTAGCAACTTCCTCCAGGTGTCAGGCCCTGATGAGACAACCTGATAAGACAACCGAGGTGGCAAAACCTGCCCAGGCTGGAAAGTCCCACGTGATGACAAACTTCCTTCTGTGAAGCCCCCTCATGCTAATTAGGTGCAGACCCGTGCCAACAGCTAATTGGACCCCACCATTTCCTTAGTGTCCCCAATTAGGTCCTCTCTGTGTCTATAAGAATCTACCCCCCCTGCCAGGGGGTGCGACTTCTCTGGCCTTGATGCTAGGGCACGAGAACCTCGACCGGGAGTGCTAATAAACTGCTTCTCTGAAACAACTCCGTGTCCTGCTGTCTCGGCAGCCCAACAATACATTTATCTCTAGAGTTACTCTGGTCGTCTTCTGTTGTTTACATGTATAATCTGATTTTCTCCATGGTGCAATAAGAAAACATAAAAATTAAAGAAAAAAATCTTAATTTAAAAGGGAATAATGATTTAAGAGTAATTTCTAAGACCAACACAGGAATTTAGAGATTAACAGGATTAGATATTGTGACTATTCAAAGGAATAAAATATTTGGCAACCCAAAAACCAATTTCCTTGGAATTGGCCCGCAGATCACTTTCAAACATAGGCTTGGAATAAGTTACCCCTTTCTCTGAGCTGCTGAAGGCAAGTTGGTTGTTTGGGGTCTGGACCAGTGTTCATTTCCATAGATTTCAGGGGCTCTTCCTCCAATCTTTGTTTTCTTGTCCCTTAGATCTGAGAGAGATGCTGCATGATCCTGATCCCTCTGTACACATCTTAGCCTCCCAGGCTCTGTTCCGCGTCTGGAAGGCAAAGTCTGAACCTGAACCCAGCCAGAGAGTTTGCAGGCTGAGAAAGCTCATGGGCTGTCTCTCTACCTAGACATGCAAGGGAATCTACACCAGGTAAAAGCCAATCCTTTCAGAACCCACAGAAACAATCAGTGGTGCATTTTTTATCTTTTTTCAGACTTAAAGCAATGCCACCATTAAGCTACCTCCATCCCTTCATTTTCTCAGAACACACTTTTTTTTTTTTTTTTCTTTTTTCCTCAAAACCTTTGAGGAACCACTCCTCCCCCCCCCCGCAAAAAAAAAACTATTGCACTGAGAAAATCTTTAAACCTTAACCAAAACTATCCCCTGAAATCAACTTTAAACCAAACAATAGCTTAATTAGAAAAGAATATGTGCCTTGAGCTTTGGGTTCTTTTAACGAATTATCTTTATGTGATCATATTGTCAAAAGCAACTCAAAAGGCTAGATGAGAAGGTTATGGGGGCAGCGAGTTTGTGTTAATGATGGTGAAAGTCAGAAAAGCATATCAAGAAAGGTGGTACATCATGAGGAATGTAACTGCTATCACTGACTGTATATCCAGAAATTGTTGAAGTGGTGTGTGTTTTGGGGGATGTATCCCCTTCCAAAAAACCCAAATCTTTAATGAGTTACAATATATAGGGGAGGGCAGATCTTGGTTTAAATCTGAAGAAACTGTGAAAATCTATTGAGTTTTTGAAACATGCCGGAGCATCCATAAAGTTCTAGTCCTGATAAAGAGGTGTAGGGCAGGTTCAAAAGAGACTAAATAAATATTAATGTCTCAATGTTAGTATTGTTGGCTCTTATGTCAAGGCCTAGTATACTTAATTGCCAATAGTCTTAAGAATAAAATAACAGCCAATTCTTAGAGTTTCATCATATATTTTTATAATATTCCTTATGGCTTCTCCTTCCTTCCCTTTCCTTTAAAATCCTTTGAGAAAAAAAAAATCTGAAGTGATATGATGCTAGATCTTTTCCAGTAAAGGTGAGGTCTCTACTTCTTCTTTCTGCTTTTTTGTTTTCTTGATTCTCTCTTACAACAGCTATCAGATCCTGAAATGGCTTTAGGAGGAGATCTGTTGAGTAGCCACTGTTTGCTTTAAGCAGAGATCAGTATGGAGAAAATTTTCTTATACACAGAATTTCCCAAGAAACAGATTAGTTTGTATTGGATATATATTCTGATAAGCTGCAGGTGGAAGTGTGGTAAATCCCCAAGAGTCATGCTGAACTGATTAGAAGTGGTAACCATTGGTCTAATTCCCAGGCTCTTGTCTGGTCAAGGAACATAAGCAGAGATCCAGAGCTGAACTACCTAGGATAATAATAAAGAGGCCTCATGGAAGGGTGACATGGGAAAAGAGAAAGAAAGTGTGTGTGTGTGTGCGCATGCATGTGCATGTGTTTGTAACTGGCAGGTGAAGAACAGATGTGTCCAATTGCTTTCAGTTTGTGTTGTAAAGTGAATAATATGAATTACCACCCTATCCTCTACCTTTTGCCCCATCCCTCTGCCAAGACATTGTTGAGAAGAAATTTCTCAGTGATTCCTTGTGGAGCTGGATTTGTTTTGCAAGGGAGGTGACAGTGTGCCAGTATGGCTTTAAGAGGATCTCTGCCCAAAGGAGTCTGTCATATTTGGGGCTACCAGTCAGGAGTTTTAAACTAAAATGCAGGCCCCACTTGCCTGATAGATTAAATCCACATCCTAGAGCAGAG